CGCTATAGTTTGACAAACCTCACTTTTTACACGCCCGGCGTGTACGGTCACCGCAGGCTAGAGCAGAAACGCTTGAGGGTAAGAGCTTTGCCTCTCTTCTTTTGAGCTTGTAGCACGATGGGGTCCCCACCAGACCGACGCAAGCAACGGTCGTGCACGCGTTCTTTACGACACTTTCCGACGACTTTAGCCGCACCGATAAAAACTCGACGACAAAGCATCTTGACTCTCGACACCATCACGAAAAAGCACTTTGTTGTCCTTTCTACGCTTCTAAAATGACCTCGTGGGCGGCTTTCAACGTGATCAGACCGAGCGGCGCTCGAGCGTGCGACCGCCAAGACGGTGTACTTGACGTCATTTCACTGCACCTATCGCGCGCCGGACTAGTTGGCTTATTTGTGCGATAAAACCCTCGCCAGTATGGATTATGATGTGCAATCATTTGAAGCGCATCCACGCGCGTATGATCTACCATCATCACGTCTTCAGCTCCGATATGTAGCGTTTGTCGGTACAAATTTTTGTTAGGGCCGACGAAGCACCTCGAGTGGCTGTTTCCATAGCGAGTGGCCGTGAAGTTTGGTTCAGGTCTTCCAGCACGATATACCGGCCTTGGGATTGCATAAGATCAGTTACCTTCTTTGCTTTGTGTAGTATAATATCCTACTTTGGCTTCGGGATGTTCGTTGATCTACTGCCCGATAGCAACGGCGCCAATTTATCATTGGTCAGTGTCTCTGGTACTGGGCAGGGATTGCGCTGCTCGGCTTCTGCCAAAGGCCACCAGAGCGATCTACACTGTGGCGCTAACCAGTATATCCTTATCGCCTATTTGGCTCATAACCTGTAAAAACTGGGTTCACGGTTGCAAGGCTCTTATTTTGCTGGTGTATCTACGGAGTGGCAATCTGTTCTGTCGACACCAGAACTCAGTCGCAACTATACACCCTACGTGCCTGAACGCAACGATACCTCGAGTCGTGGCCAGGTACTGTGGGTCGCGCTAGTGTACCCACGTTCGAACACATATTTTGCACAATGCATGAAACATTGCACCCTCCGCTTGTACTGACACAGTACAAGCTACCTACGTCGGCGCGGTGAAGGCAGATGTTTTTAATTATCACGTAATCTACGTGCAGAGGAAGGTTCAATCTAAACAACAAACACGATAAAGAGAAGGTAGAAGTGAAACTGTATTAAATATAGTTTCATTTTTCGAGTGAAAACTATGTTGATCTTTCTTTGACCATATGACGCTACAAACTTCGAATATCGCTTCTTGTTCACCACCCATTGCGCGCGTCAAGCGTTGATTGTGTAGCGGATCTCCATGGGCTTTGCTGTAGTGAGACTTTTGTCTCGACGAGATACTTCGTTCTTGACGAGAACACGACTCAACGAGTCTGCTTATCCCACTGAACTTGTAGTCATGGCCCAAGAAAAACTTCTAGATTAAAACTATTAACAGCACAAGTGCTAAAGAGTACGTGTCTTGTTAAGAATTTCAGCTCAAGTGGTCAAAGATGCCTTAGCAAGGTACGTGTCTTATACAGATCAACATGCGAGCTAACGTTTATTAACTTTTAACACGGAAATAAATCCTGCATATTTTGTCCAAATGTAAGGCTGTACCCTCTACTAGCGTATCTGAAACGTAACTTCGGTTGCTTAAAAGGCACTGACTGAAATGAGTGGTACACCACATAGTACACGTACCTAGGCCATGGATGTACTACCAAAGTGTACCAGCGTCACAGATTCGTTCAGTCGAATGAAGTAAGACCTCTGTTGATCAATACGTCGATTAGTACCGAAAATTACCTCCAAAGAGAGATTTTTCTTCAATATTTGCTTTATCATGTAATTCTGGCAAAGTTCTTACTATTCGATAAAATTCTATTTTACCCAATCTGATGTCAATGACATGTAGCAGGATCACCCCGTTACAATGCGCGTCCGTTGCCAGGATAGTTCTGTATGTACTCGTTCGAGTATGTCGTGTGCTGCGTCGCACCCGAGTCGACTTGACAGACTTTTCCCGAATGATGACACCAGCCTACCAGAACAAGAACGGACAGTCAGTGGAATCATCTTGGGTTTGTACGACATTTTCTCTATGTCCGCTGCTGCTCCGCTTTATTGCGGATTGGTACTTGGCACGTGTCAATACGATGCCATGGTTTACCATAGTAGTGACCAGCACTAAATGTCTGCGCTGGTCGCTCACTTTGCGATTGCCGTAATCATTCGCCGTGAGCAACTGAGCTCGAGTGTGCGCGCATCCATGAACGCCGCAACCTTTATACGCTACAAGTCCTCGTGAAGAACCCTAGACATCACAATCTATTGCGTTTGGAGAATGCACGCGCGACTTCGATGCCGTGATTTGGATATGGCGTGACACAGAGTACCAAGAAGCATGGTCACCAATCTTTGTTGCTAAATAAAGGACCGAGAACGTGCAGCTTCTCTTCCAACTTAGTCATAATATTGTCATGCTCTTGTACGTCATCATCATCTTCCATCGATTCTGTCAGCAAGTGTCAGTGAAGGAAAAAGAACCCCTGAGCGAGGTTTTACTTCTCAATGTGTCCATTGACTTTGATCCTGGATCTTGCACGTCGCTCGTCGAGCAAGTCAACAAAAGCTTCGAGATTTCATCGCAAGATAGACATTGCCAGCGGCTCGCGTGTATTACTCGCGAGAAGTCACTGATGAGCGAAGTGGAGCAGTACTCAAGCTTGCTCACATCGCTTTTGTGACCTTCCACGACTCGCGTTTCTACAGACCATTTGCATCCTGAGATCCCACGTGTAGAACTCAATGCCTTCGACTAGCCGACGCGGGCAGAACTTGACGACGATGGCCTCTTGGAAAGAGCGAGGTCTTGGCAGGGAAGACAGGGTTGCGCTTATACATATGACTTGAGTCGGCCAAGCGCTAATTGGATAGAATGCAATGTGTAAATATGTTGACACTTCGTTCGCTCACTCTTCCGCTTTTCCTCAGCCCACCGGATGCTTCGCAATCATGCAATTGATCATCTAGTCGCCCGTTGCTGACGTTGATTGAACTATATCTGACGTTACAAGGGCGACAACGAACTGTGGGCTTTACGATGGTCATCACTGCTTCAATCAATCACAAACTTAATGTCGTCATACGATACTCCGTCGTGGCTCAAGGCGTCTTGGCAACACTGCCTGTATGTTCGCACGCATTTACTACAGTGGAGTCTTGTAAGCTATCACTGCTTGTACTACAAATCTGTCAACCCGTCATATCTTTGAGGAGGCAAAGCTCTGGTGAACCTCGAAACCCAGCGCATGGGCGTCAGCCTGCAACGATTGTCCACATTAGAGCTGATACCAGCACCCGACTGCAGGCGTCTTCACATAATGACTGACGACTGAGTCAACATTTCCATGACTAGAATCGTCTGACGCCTACATATGATTGAAAAGTATAGCACGAGCAGTAGACACATGGTCTTCACCAACAATCTTACCATCGCCAAATTGCGAGTCATAATTTGAAATGTCCAAAGTTTGGTCCGTGCACGAAGCCCCTCCACGGTCTTCCAAAAAAGTGCTTTGGATTTATGGATGATTAGCCCACGAATCGCAGCATGCATGGTTTATAATTGTGACAGTTTTGACCCGTATATAAGAGCATGTAAAAAACAAAATAACTCGTGTACCAACCGTGTACTAGTATGGCAAGCAGACTGTCCTGCAAAGTTACATCAATTGAAGTCAACATGCAAACACTACAGTTGCTTCTTCCTTCAGCGATCCGGTTTAGTTTGCTTTTTCTCGTCGCGCACGACCTCGCGGCATACGTCTGATAGCAGTAACTGTCCAGTTGCACAATAATCGACAAAAAGTTACTGGTGCTTGATGCTACCTCAGATACCTCAGAAGTTGCGATGTACATCTTAGACCTCTACTACAGCTTAGCAACGTGTGTACCGTCACAGCTATTGTATAGGATTGTTATGGAAACTCTTCCATGCGGCTCACGACTGTCATACAGTTTTTCCTTTGTGTGGTGAGTTGCAATGGATGGCATTCCGGAACTTGCGTTCGGAAGACAAGGGCCGTTTCAGTTCATTCGAGGCCGCACTATCCCTTCTGCACTCAAGGCGTATTTGATCTGTCTCGTAACATCGCGCTGGTGGTGACGCTTCGGACGCTGCAGTCACGAGGCAGTCCTATAAACTTGTCGTGTATCGTCAGTCTTTGGAGCATTACCATTGAAAGTCCGGTCAGGCTGAGAAATCGTCTGCGTCCCTGGTCGACGATTAGCTGACACCGTCTCAAATGCACCTGGTGAAAAGCAGCGGTACTCGTGTCACCACGAGCGTTGCAAGTAGAGGCGTCTATCAGCACAACAAACCGCTGCTCGCTCACAAGAAGCAGCAACAGATCAGCTCTGAGTTTACAGGCCACTCTAAAAAGAAGTACTTCCATGTCCAGCCTTACACAAGTCCCTTACACGTGAGCAGAAAAGAAGGGGTGACGTAGTCCACGACCAACCTGCTCTATGCCAAACGGCGCAATCATACAGAGCCACCTCGAGAGTCCGATCGAGCTATAGTTGAGGAAGTAACGCCGAAAAAGGTGTAATTCAGTGTCACAATCGAACGGTATTCCGTCCGCACACATGCGTGTGAAAGATGTACGCACCCGCCTCACCACGCCTCGTTGGTCCAAGATCCCTCTTGGTCGTCCAGCTTCATACAACTCTCGTGTCAACATGAATCTGTACGCGAGATCTGGTGCGATCAATTTTATATCACCCAATCCGAGCGCGCCGGAATTCAACAAATCAGCGAATCGCAGACCGCCGTGTGTCCGGCCGTGCGAACGAGTGTGTCCGTTCGACGCGCGACGCTTCACCAAGCACACCCACTACAGTAAGGCCGGCCGGCCGGCCGTCTTTCGTCGAGGTCCTCACTTTTGAATTTGCCTCAGTGACACGAGCGCTCAACAATGGCCGACCAGCTGACCGAAGAGCAAATCGCCGAGTTCAAGGAGGCGTTCTCCCTCTTTGACAAGGACGGCGATGGCACCATCACGACCAAGGAGCTGGGCACGGTCATGCGGTCGCTGGGCCAGAACCCGACCGAAGCGGAGCTGCAGGACATGATCAACGAGGTGGACGCGGACGGCAACGGCACGATCGACTTCCCCGAGTTCCTCACGATGATGGCGCGTAAGATGAAGGACACGGACTCGGAGGAGGAGATCCTGGAGGCGTTCAAGGTCTTTGACAAGGACGGCAATGGCTTCATCTCGGCCGCCGAGCTGCGCCACATTATGACCAACTTGGGCGAGAAGCTGACGGACGAGGAGGTGGACGAGATGATCCGCGAAGCCGACATTGACGGCGACGGACAGATCAACTACGAGGAGTTTGTCAAGATGATGATGTCCAAGTAGGCGTTGCGTGCGGACTCGTTGCCTCGGGTCGGGTCGGGTGTGTGCGCGAGCTCGACGAGGACAGAGAGAGAGAGAGAACGACTGTGTTAACTGTGCTTGTCATAAATTAGAAACGCGAGAGAAAAAGAGACTATTTCTATTGTGTTTTGCTGCTGCTGCCATTTGCTATCGTTCTATTTTGTGCGGCAGTGACGGAGGGGGGAGCGTCGTGACATCCGACGAACGTGCGCCGAAGCAGCGGAGAACGTTCGTTGCCCAGAAGAGCCTCTGCAGGAGGAGTGACACGTCCCCAGAAGTGCGACCACGACTGCCTGCCGCCGTCGCTTCTCGATGGAGAGAGAAGGAGGGAGAAGAGCAGCCGAGCGTTACGAAAGCACATGGGGGCCGACGTACCACGCGGCGAGGCTACAACATAAGCAGACCGTACCGTCTGCGCCCTTTGCTCGCGCAAGTCGAGCGACGTCAAATGTCTGACCCGCACGCAGTGCACCCGAGTGGCCGCAGCATACCGAAAGGGTCGCACGACGTGTGAACCAGGAGCCAGGTATGCGACACGCGACGAGCTGTCTGGTCTGCCGCGTGATCGTCATCGTTAGCACACACTTACACACAACCCGACAGAAAGACATTCAAATAGACTCACCAACAGACAAACACATATATATATATGACACACGAACAGACACACGAATAGACATACGAACAGACACGCACTTGCGTCCTGGCTGCTGGCGAGCCCTCGCGACACGCGCGGCGAAGCCATATTGTGCACATCGATGCCATTTCAGTGAAGCAAGCAGTGTTGACTCCCTTCCCCCTCTCTCTTCCCGCTCGAAAAACAGCCCCGTCTTACTGTTCCTTTTTCCATCTGGAGGCGAAGGTAACTGGACAAAAACTGTCAAGTCGGGGACGTTTCGAGATCCTGTACGTTCGCATCTCCTGCACAATCAGCACAATTCTTCGTCAACGCGGCACTGTCGTTTCTTGGCCGTCGTACCTGCCAGACTGCATATCTCCCGCGCTTCAACAGCCCCACTACCGCCGTCCGCGTTTTCGCTGGATCTTTTCCGAAAAAGAGCTCTTCGCCGCCGCCAACAGCACGTCATTCTCCATTTTGCGACCGAGTGCCAGTTGTGTACCCATCGACAGCGCGCGTGTCGCAATGCACTATTCGAACCACCAGCAGCACCAGCACCACCACCAGCACCACCACCAGCAGCAGCCGCTCCAGACGCCGCCCGACGCAATGGTGTCGTCGGCCCGTGGCATGGCGCGTCTCAACGGCAGCAACCGCGCGGCGTGGAACGCCATGGACCTGGAAATCAGCGCCCACGCCCCACCCGCGCACGCGCTTCATGGAAGCGCTGGCACCGACCACGGCGCCCTGTCTGCCCGCAACGTGCTGCTCCGTCAGAAGCTGCGCGAGCGCAAGCGGTACGACTCAGCCGACGACGCCATGAAGAAAGCCGCCGCTGCGGCGCGTGCGTCGAGTCGCGCGTCTCTGCTGCCACAGGGCACGTCCGTGCCTGTGGCCGCGTCGAACGGACGCGCGCTGCACGACGGCAGACAGGCGCGTGGGTGTGGACTGCACGAAGCCGTGAGCTCGCCCTGTGCCACGTCTGCGACTGGCCGCATCCAGTGTGCCAGCATGAGCCCCAGTCGCGCGGGTAAGTATGGCGCGCTCGAGGGCACGGGGCCGTCTTTTGCGGCAGACGACAAGCAGATGCCTGCGGCAGGTGGGACCAAGTACGGCAAACTCTCTGCTGCGCACGTTCTCATTCGACGGAAACTCAAGGAGCGCAAGCGCTTTGATTCGGCTGATTACGCCATGGAGAAACAGGGGCGAGCGACGGACTTTGCGTCGTCGGCCGTTGCAGCGGGTCCAGCGACTGCGTCAGGCGCTGGGCAACCAGACGGTGCACTGGCGGCCTCGTCCCACGCAGGGATTGACCACCAGGTGAAGCATATCAAGCTCTCGGAAGCGCCCGACGGACGGGTTGCGTCTCCCGTCGTGGCGAATGCAGCGCAGGCGGCATTAGCAGCGCGGGCGGCGCGCTACGCTGGACTAGCGGGCGCGAGGTCGACTGCTGCTGGGGGCACCAGTAGGGGGGCACAGGCGGCGTGTGACCGATATGGGCTGGACAAGAGCGCCGTGTCTGCAGGGGCGGCGGCTGCGCGCAACATTGTGTTGCAGCGCAAGTTGGCCGAGCGCAAGATGTTTGACTCGGCGGACCACTTTAAGGAGGCGGCGTGAACGTTTCGCAGCTTGTTGTGTATATCATATACTCAGTGCAGATTGCTGTGCAGTGACACACTTGCATGGATCGAGCAGAAGAAAGAGACGTATTGTAATGACATGTGGGGCACCGAGCAGGAAGGGGGGGTGCTGGGGGGAGTAGATGACGGAAGTGTAACGTGGTGAACTTGTTCAGCGCGGCTGACGGCCTATATCGATCGATATGTGACTACAGGCGATAGCAGTAAGCGCGTTGGGTGAACCGCTTTCACGTGCTCACGATTACTACTGCTGTTCGGCCTGGCAGCACTAGTAGAGTGCAGACCTTCTAGGTCCTTCTGGGCTGCAACCGTTTGAGGGGGAGTTTGCCTCCGCATGTGCCTACACGAATCTTGGAAGCTCAGTTGCTTGTCTCGCTGACTTTTGTGTGTACGCGCTTTTCTACTGCAAGTGGGACTCTCTTTCATGCATGTACTTGATAGCCGTCTAGATGATGTATTAAACACGCATCCAATGACTGCCTGGGCACAAGTGCATCGAAGGTGTCGAGTGGGAGAGCATGTACTCACAAAAGAATTGACAGCGGATCATACATGTGCGATGTCACGAATCTCAGATCGCGGCTTTGACAACTCACTTGCAGCGTCAACTGATGTACAGCTTCTGCTTCTTGGGACGAGTAACATACATGACACCGCGGGGGTAGTACACAAACTATCCACGCATCTAGTCGCGGCCTCATTGACGACATCTCCGACGATGACTGGGTTGCAGCAGACTTGGTTGCAGCCGACTTGGACCACGAATGAAGCACAGCGGACGTGGACATGTATGTCGCGGCCACCACAGAGTCGACTGCCGTAGCCAAACAAGTGCTTTCGCGCGTCTGTGTACCGCCACTGCTGCGATTGCATTTGCCTGAACAAGCACAGCTTCATGCAGTCATATCATAATACAGCCGCACGCACACCTACAATGTCAGCAAAGCGAGCGGGAAACACCAACAACCAACCCTCAACGTCATTTGCACAACGACCGTCGCCTACCCAGCTCATTCGAGCCCGCAGAGGCTCAAATCCGAGGTCAGACCACCGTGGATTTCCTTATTCTTGAGCTTCGTACGCCGAACAAGGAACTCATCAAAGCCGTCCATTCCCTGCAGGTCCTCCTTCGTCATTGGGTTGCCTTCCAGGTGCATCACCTGGACAGACGAGCCCTCTCGCAGTAGCCCAGCAGCAATCGGCTGTACCTTCGCACCGGCCGATCGACCAACCAGCATGTTCCGGCGTGCCGACAACACCTTGAGCTTGCCACATTTGGCCAAAGCAGCTGGCAGTTCCGTCACTTTGTTGCCGTCGACATTGAGTTCCTGTAGCTCCTGCATCTCGCCCAAATTTGACGATAACGTCTCCAGAGCATTGTCGGACAGGTCCAGATCTTGCAATTGCGTGAGTTGCAGCACACTATGAGGTATAACACGTAGCCGGTTGTTCTTCAGTATCAGCTTGGTCAGATTGGGCGGTAAAGCGTTGGGGATATCGCCGAGCACATTATTGTCCAGCACGAGCTTTATTGTCCACAAAACACAAAAAGGTCGGTGCCGACCGGTCATCATTTACCAAGCGCTAATGCGACAACCAGCTAAATGGGCCCGAATTGACAATTATCCGGATATTTACAAAGAAGAACAATGTCGTACCGTTGTGAGCGCCTGCAGTGTCGACAGATCCGGCAACGTCTCGAACGCGTTAAAAGACAGTTTAAGCGTCTTTAGTACTGTAAACGCACTTAGTTGCGGTGGCAAATCGCTCAGTTGATTGCTCGTGACGTCCAACGTGCGCAGATTCGACAGCTGCAGTAACTCATCCGGAAGTTTCTTCAATTTACTGTTCGGCAGTGCCAAGACGCCCGTCGTCGTGGCCAATTTGATCTTCTGCTGTCGAACGTTCCGAGTGTTTTTCGGTTTGCTCTTGGCCTGATTGTGCGCCTCGCGCGCTTTCGTGACCGTGTTGCCCATGACGCTTGTTACAAATACGGTATTGTACTACGATACCGACGTGAAGGTGTCGTGATAGCGTCGATCGTCGACTCGGGTGTTGCAGGATGGATTCGTTGTTTGTACAGGTATGTAATACGGACTTTGCGATACGGACGCCTTGATAGAGTCGGTGGCATACAGCCCTTTCGATACAGCCCTACGGAAACGTACCTTTCGATATGGACCTTTCAATACGGACGTTGCGAACCGGCCGATCGGTAGTTCGCACCCAGCCGTCGATCGATCGTGCTCTGATGCGGTCACCCTCCCTCGGAATACGGACACTCCGACACACGACGGACCTCATCAACAGCAGAGTGTCCCTATCCCACGTGCGTTACGATTGGCGCACAGGATAACAACCGTCGACTGTCAGTGGTCAAAACCCGACACCAGCGCGTCTCCAGTCAACTTGCACCAGCACTGTAGCCATTCGTGATGATCATCAGCAGCGAGTCGAGCGACGAGGAGCTCTTTCCGCCTGCCGCCGATGGAACAGCTGTCCCCTGCGCTGCCCGACCGGCGAAGCGCCTGAAGCGAAAGGCCCCACCGCCACGGGGTCCGTCTCCTGCCACGTCAGCGGGTGCCGTGACGGGTCAGCAGACAGAGCGTCGCCCTACAGAACAACAACAACAACGACGACATCAACGACGACAACGATACAGTCGCTCTGGACGCAGAAGAGACCCAGAGACTGAAGCGCGAGGCCCGGAAGAAGCGCAAGGCCGAGGAAAAAGTCGCTCGCGCAGTCGAGAAGCAGCAGCAGCTTCGGCACGAGCTGGACAAGGAACGCGCAGTCAGCGGTCGGGCGTACACGCTGAGTATGGCCATCCCGGGGTCCGTGCTGGACAATGCCCAGACCAAAGAGCTGCGGACGTACGTGGCGGGCCAAGTCGCGCGGGCTGCTGTGATCTTTCAAGTGGACGAGATCGTCGTGTTTGACGACCAATTGGGCACCAAAGCGAGCACGGGAGTGCCTCTTCATCGCGCCCACGACTGCCACGTGTTTATGGCGCGCATCCTGCAGTACTTGGAGACGCCACAGTACTTGCGACGGGCGTTGTTCCCCATGCACTCGGATTTGAGCTGTGCTGGACTACTGAACCCGCTGGATTGTCCGCACCACTTGCGCGCGCAAGAGTGGAGTGTCTATCGCGAAGGTGTAGTGACTGATCGACCGCTGAAGGAGAAGGAAGGCTCGCATGTTTATGTTGGACTACAGCGTGAAGTGGTGGTCGACAAACGTCTGACGCCTGGCGTTCGAGTCACGGTGAAGATTGACGAAGCGTCCAAGGAGTTTAAGAAGAAGAGTGAGTAGAACGAGCGGGGCTTGGAGGTACTCTGATTTGCTCGTTGCGAGACTGACAGTGTGTGTTTGTGGATGTATAGTGGTGGGCAAACTAGTGTCGTCTGCTGAACCACGCGAGCAGCTCGGGGTGTACTGGGGCTACACAACTCGCTTTGCGTCTTCGCTGAGTAACGTGTGGACCGACTGTCCGTTCGCTGGAGGCTACGACCTGAAAGTCGGCACGTCCGAACGCGGCAATGTCTCGGTTGATGACGCCGACTTTTCACTGCCAAAGTTCCGTCATGCATTAATCGTTTTTGGTGGCGTGGCTGGTATCGAAGAGTGTGTGGACGCTGACGAGAAGATTCCTGTGAGCGGCGCGGACTCAAATACCCTTTTTGACATGTGGGTCAACACGTGTCCGGAGCAAGGCAGTCGAACGATTCGTTTAGAAGAGGCACTGTTGGTCTCCCTTGCAGCTTTCCGGCCGCACATTGCTCGTGGTGGACGAGCGTGAATATGACGATAAGCCTGGGATCTCTTTGTGGATGATAAGTACAGGCAAAGAAATAGACGTACATGGCATCAAAAAGTCGGGCGTGGTTTGCGATGGGCATACTATGGCTACGAAGACACAGTTAACCACCTGCACGCCGCTTGGTCGACGGGCACTTTTTGTAGCAATGGAACATGCGCAAGCAGTCCATTGTGCGATTCTTGCCGCAGCAACACAACTCCTTGCACACGGGACAGCCATTCTCAAAGACGCGATCGCCATGCTCTTCGTGCATCTTGTCAGCACATCTCGCGCAAAAGATATGGGGACATATGGAGCACCACACGTTCTTCTTCCGCAAATTGCCACACCGATGACACGATGCTCGATGGTGCTTCAGCTTCTCCAGGTGGTTTCCACCAGCGCTGTTCGATTGAAGTTGCTGAAACGCTGGTCCGACTGCTGCGATCATGGGCGAACTGGCTGCATCGATCGGATACGTCGGTGCTTCGCGGACTGACCTGAGACTTTCGAGTCCAATCCTGAGATCGTGTTTTGATCTCAAAGTCGCCATGAAGTTGCCATTGCTGCCATCACTACCAGTTCTGGGCGAGATGTATCCGTAATTTGCACTGCCATTGTGTGGCAAATCGTCATGGTGGGCTCGATCGCAAAACCTTGGACCATTGCTCACGCACGGCTGGTTGTGCGTCGATCTTACCTGCTTCTGCTGCTGCTGTAGAGAGTCAAGACTGGCCCACGTAGCTCCTGTCGATACGGGTGAGCCAAAATTGCTCGTGATGCTGCTTTCGAAACCAGCGCTCGACGTTCCCCACACGGATCCACTGTCGGAGTCTGGCACTGATGCAGCTGAATAGATGTAAGATGCTTCATTCACCGATATTGGAGGCAGCTTGCTGTCACACCCCAAATTCGTGGTTGGTTGCAAGTCTTCGGGGCGTTGGGTCAGCATCTCAATGGCAGCAAGGGCTTGCTCGACACGGTCGACAACGGCTTGGGCTTCGTGCTGAGAGCTAGGGACCCACGCGTTTTGATTCACAGACTTCAATGATGCCGGATGTGCACTCCACTCTCGTAACCGGTGTATTGCACGCTGCAATGCTTGCCGGTCTTGCTCACTTACATGGACATCCATACCGTTGTGCATCATCAGCAGCTGGTTCCAGTAGAACCGTAGAGCTGCCCAGAGCTCGGCGTTCACGTCGGCCATTCCCCAGCCCGATGTGGTATAACCTCGATACTGTACCAGTGTCTGGTGCTGCATCTCCAGCAAGACAACTCCCAGTTGTGCTGCCATTGCCGATGTGCACGTGAAAAGACCGTAAAACAGCGAGCAGCTTTGCACGCCGCCAGCAAAGCGTGCGAACATCCAGCCAGCTGGTATAAGCAGTGTGCTGCCTGCACTGACGGCACACTTGATGCACGTGTCCACTCTTTCGGCCAGAAAGATCGTTGCAAAGTCTCGATCGTTCTTCCAAGCTTGATAGATCTTCCAATTGGTGTCAGACGGCGGAATGAAATACACCCAGAGCTCGCCAGCAGATACCGAGAGCCACACGCACTGACCTCCAGGGGTCAGCGTGAAGTCCAGATAACTATTGCACTCCAGAAATGCACCCAAGACGTTTGCGCTCGCACTTGCGCTCGCTTGTGGTCCGTTGGCACGGCTCGAAGGCAACAAGGAACGCCAGTCCACTCGAGCAACAGCCATTGGCGGTGCAACCCGGAGCTGCACGGGCGTGTCAAGTACCTGGAATTCAGCATTCGCGACCGACTTGTCAGCTTTTCGCCCATGCTCTTGGAGGTAGTGGGGACACGCTTTGAGTTGCCACGTCAGTGCTGTCAGCTGCACTTTCGCCTGCGTAGCCACGTCGGTCGACTGCACGAGGACTCGATTGGTGGCCAAGAGCTCTGCAATCACAGCAGCGTCAAGTACTGGCAACGATGCATCCAGTCCGGCCACTCGATGGCTGTGGCCTGCAAAAAGCACGGGCTCATCTAGCGCTCTTTGCTGCAGGAACGAGGGGTGCAACGCGTGAGACGGGACGACGTGGACTTCAGATCGAGCGTCTGCGATTGCACTGAGAAGGCGGCGGAAGTGAGCCGAGCTCTTCTGATGAGGATGAGGATGATGCTGGCGTGACGCTGTGATTGCATGGCTCGGATAGACAGACGGGGGTGAGTAGCTTCTCGTGTTGACGCGTCGCCCGTGACCATTCGTCTGGGCTTGAAATAGAATGATTGCATGATTACAAAAACAGACAAGACAACGTCGTAGAAAGGACGACGAGAACACGTTATCAAGATGACTTTGTCTGCTTCGTCTTTCGTCCCTTTCTGTCCCGTAGCCACTCAACGCGGCAGTAACAATTACGTACAATAGACAGTAGATACGCCGTAGATACCGCCATGCTGCTGGCAGTCGGGACACGCCCACTTGGCGCCAAGCAGCGCGTCGTGCTCGGTCACGGGTGACACGCAGGCAGCGTGTAGCCATCGAGTACAAAAGTGGCACTCGACAAGCACTGTGGCTGCACTTGGATCGACGGCATGACCGCATGCGGCGCAGAGGAGCGGGACCATTGCCACGAGCTTTGGGTCGCACGCACGACGGACCTGTGCTCGAGGCGGTCGAATGCAGACTGGACTGGGTGGATCTGCTGCGCCATTGTGATTTTCAATGGCGACTTGTTAGAGGGATGAAAAGGGGGAGGAGACGATGGGCGGCGAGTGGTCTTAAGCTGCAAACGACTCTGCCGTGGCTCGACAATGCGCGTCCAGCTGGCAGCAGACGTGTCTTCCCTACGTTACACGGGTGCACGCGACGGGCCAAGCGGGGGCACCACGCGCGACTTGTGGGGTCGGGCTTTTCTTTGCCACGCATCGAAGCTGGCGAAATGAAGTAGGGCTGGGGGGCAAGCAGGCGCGAGTAGCAGACGAGGCCATTGCCGTCGCGCGAAGGTGAATGACGTGTCTTTTTCTGGCCGTCTGCGACATGCTGGTAGCCGGAGAGTTGAGCGCATGGCCAGCTACTGCTCGCTCCATCTGCAGGAGTGTGTTGGGACGCGCTGGCAACGGGTAACGTGGGAGACAGAGCACTCGGCAGGTGCACGGAGGACCTCCTGACGGTGGCTAGCGATGCAGGGCGCGCTGAAGTGGTGATGATTTGCATTAGGGTGATCGCGTGTCCCACAATGATGATGATGATGATGATGCTGACGGTAGGGCAGCGACAGTCGCTTTGCCGGTGGAATACACGAAGTGGTTTGGTCCCACCTGAAGTGGATTGGACCGAACGATCATCGTGTCGCTCTTTGGTTGTAGACAAAGCGTTTGCAACGTGACTACAGAAGTGTTGTGCCAATCGTTCTTCTTGTAACGTAGATGTGGTGGCGCTGAGAATGGATTCGGCTGGGACGGGCATATCGGATCGAACTGCATTCAGAATGTTGTGACTTGTGGCTCACTTCACCGCCGCTTTGTTCTTGCTCGAGTGCTAGTTCGTCTCGCGGAGTATTCTATACGAGCTGCAAATTCGAACCGAGGAAGGGCTTTGCGGACGATAAAAAACAGTGCTGGGAAACGTTACCATCCCATTGTGACCGACAGGTCTACTTTCATTTTTTGCAGGAAGCTTAAGCAAACACGAATAGTGGTATGTAGCTTCGAAGACCTCCTGGTCGTACAGGCACTCTACAAGCTGTCCCATTGTATTGTTGCTTTTATTTGTCAAGCTAGTGTAAAAGCAGGACTGAAGAGCTAAGTATATGTGCCGAAAGGGTACCATTTTATAATGTCGATGTGAGTATACACCGAAGCGAACAAGTCCATAGTGCGCGTCGACCTCGGTACGTTCATCTTGGAAATGTGGATTGCAACGGAAGTCGTGCGTTGGCTTCAGGTCAACACTTGGACATCGACGCGCTTCAAGCGAAGTCGATTCAAGTTTTCTGGTAGTTTTCCTCGTATCAGCAACAGGGCACCGTGCATTACGGTCGCCATAGAGAGCCAGAATATAGGCGGATACGCACGCAATGGTAGTTTCCCACTCAATGCATCATCGAAGAGGACCAGCATTGCCGATCGACACGCCAAGTCTTCAGTCAAGTTGCGCGGACCGCAAGTTTTTTGCCAAGCGCATGGGCAGGATTATGGCACTTGAGATCTGAGGTGAGCACAAAAATTGAATAATCACACTACCAAGTGGGTAGATGTTTCGCTGGACTAGTCATCTTGGTCCGATCACCAATTGCTGCGATTTCTACGATTATTTTGCCATTTAACTCGTGGCACTTTTCGGTTTCTTCGTCGTGTTCATTCTACGAACTGCTTAGTAGCAACAAAAAGTTAGTGTGGTTCAGGTGCACACTTCTCATGCCGACCATATCACTCTTCGAAGCTTTACCGATACTGACTCGCACGAGATCGTATGACATTTTGTCGGTCCAGGTTGTCAAATGTCGTACTTCCAACGAAAGAGGGCTCAACACGCACCGAGTATGATGTTATCAAAAGAAGAGTAGCAAAAACCCTTCCGGGCTACGTGTCAGCCCTTTTACCCGATACAATGTTGACCACGACCTCATTAGACACATTATTTCGCAGGTTTTGCACCGCTTTCCGTAGGCAACCCTTTTCTTTTGACGCTTGACAAGACTTGATCATGTACATGCTGGTCGTGTAACGGGGTAGCCCGTTACATGAGATTGTCATTAAGGCATAAAATGACAATAAAGAATATTTCGTTAAATATTCGGTCAACAATATCACAAAGCATGATGACATTGTTGTTAGAAGCTATTGTTTTTGAAGGGTGGTGAAGGTCAAGGCCAAAACCCTTTTTTGTGTAATAAAAAACCCTCCTTCTTGGGTGAAAAACTTTTTCACCTTGAGAGAGGGGGGGGGGGGGGGGATCCCCCCGCCCCCCCCCCCGGGGGTTGTGGGGTTTGAGAGGAGAGACGGCCCCCTTCCCCTTTTCTCTTTTTTGTTTTCTGAAAAAGGAAAGGGGGGGGGAGAGAGGTAAACTATAGAGAGGATGGTTGTTTTTTGTTTGGTTTTTGTTTGTGGTTATTAAGGAAAGAAAAAAGTAAATTAATAATATTTATTTTTTTTCTTTTTCTTTTTTTTCTAAAAAATCAATAAAAAACACCCACAACCCCAAAAAAATTTTTGATGACCGAAGGGTCTACTCATTGGTTGATGTCGTGATGATATCAACCCACCAATCGCTGCTAGACGCGCGCAATGGGAGGCGAGTATACGTCATCATACGTTTTGTTATATTAGCATAATTAAGTCAGGACAAACAAAGACACAAGAGTTATAGGACTTAATTGTATTAATGACAGTGTTACTTTTACCACGACTAGAGCCGTTGCCTTAGTCGCTCTATCTTCCTCTAAGTAGTTCTACACTTAGCGGGGCGCTGACTGTCACTGCAGTCAGTGATAGTAAACTCCGTACTGGTTGACTAGTACGTAGTCATCAGTGCCCCGTTACACCTGGTTGCAGTTTGTAGTCCGTCCAAGTACCACACTCGCATTGCCCAAAATGAACATGTTGGACGAAGTCGAAGGCGACAGGTTTCACGGAGCTCGTGAAAGCTACTCCCATTTGAGGGGTGTCGAATGGAGTGCGATCGAACGAATGAGTTCGACCGTTGGCGAGGAAGCTATCTGGGCCATGGTATCCACAAGGGATTGAGACCAGCAGCATTCCGTCATTTGCAAGTTCTTGCAACGACAACTTGACGAGTCTCGAGCGCAGGTGACCTTGTTGCAATAACAAGATCACCAGCGGACTGAAGAACTGCGACATCATCAGTCTCAGTCCGCACAGTCGACGCGTGATCGTCGACAGGAGTCTCTTAAGCTAGAGATATCCAAAGTATCACGGAGTTCAAGAACGACTTCCTGTTAATATGGTTCGTCGAAGTCGACGGTGTCATCGAGGCCCGTCGCATCGACGATGAGCGAATGCAAGTCGCATTTTCTCATTCGTACTTGGCAGGGGACGCCAGGAATCGGGCCCTGAATCTTAAGTTCCACGACCCGAAGTGTTTGGGGTTCGTTAGACGTCTTCAAGACCCTGATCAGTGAGACGTTTGAGCCTCCCGGGGAAGAGTTCAGGACTCTATCCGAACTACTCGAGATCAAACAGGGTAAGCGTAAGGTTCACGCTTACGCTCAGCATGTACGCTACCTTGCAAGTTGCATAGCAGTGAACCCTGTGAGTGAGTTTGTGTTGATGACAATATTCATTCAAGCGTCTTGTAGATGGTCCCGTCAGGGACCACCTGTTCCGCGGAGAGCTAAAGACGCTCTCCGAAGCAATCTACGCTGTGGAGCAGGAAGAATTTAGCGTGAGACAGGCTCACACTACGCTGAACCCCTATCGTCCAAAGAGACGACGATAAGCGGTCAGAGGTCCCGAACCAATGGAAATTTGTCATGTCGAGGGCGAGAAACCTTGTCTTGTGAATGAAAAGCGAATGGTGAAATGACATCACTGTCATAAGCTGGGACGACTTTGCATACGAATGCAGTATCCCCTGCTCAGCACCGCGGTGATTAACGCAGTAACCGTCTACTAGTTCGAAGAACTAAAGGACGAGGACCCGATGTGTTGCAAAGCTGCAACAGAGATAGCTGGACCATTAAAAATGGTCGGGGTCAGTAGGTGCGGATCGCCCTACTAATCCGGCAAAATCGATAGAGATTTGCAAATCTTTTGACGAAAGTTGCTTCCGACAAACAGTATCTATGTGTCTCTGCACCTGGTGATGAAGTGTCCCTCATCACCTTGACATTGAAAGTGACAAAGGACTTGTCATTTCGCGCCCTAGTTGACTGTGGGGCGTCGAACAACTTTGTTCGTCGCCAGTCGCTAGAGGCAGGAAGTTTTAACTTCGCGGAGCGGGAGATCCCTCCAACGAAGATGGCGGTGCGCCTAGCGACAGGCGCATCGACCACTGTGAAGAAACGTGTAGTCGGAATCCACTGCACGTTAAAAGGCTAACAGTACGATGATGCTTTCATCGTAGAGGACCTGGATGACAAGTTCGACGTCATCTTAGGGTTGCCTTGGCTCAGGAAATACGAGCCAATGGTAAGTTGGCAGCATCGATCAGCAACAATGCATGACGCTTGTTCATCAGATGAAGATGTGAAGAATATATTGGAGCGCCCAAATTCATGTGGGTGTACTGCGAGTGAGTGCGATGACCTCACTTGCGATACGGTCGCTAGTACGACTGTACAAAAGCACAGTGTAGATGATCACTACATTGTGGAGAAAGCTCTCCTGGATCCTGTGGATGTACTTCCCAGGAAGTAATCGAGACATTGAGCGTATTGGTTAATGACGGATCAAGTGTAGTCGTTTACATGCTTGTTTTGATTGTGCCTCCGAAGTTAACTTCGGAGATAACTCTAATTGCCTACACCAGAACTGAAACGGTTCTTGTGTGATTTGCGTAGTGGCAAGGTCAAGCAGATCTGTTAACTCGTCGCGGAAGACGAGTACGTCATCGATATTTGATCGGCAATGGCTCCTTACTGAAATCTAACGGCTTCTCAGCAGTT